TAAAAGAACTAACAGATCTGTCCTGGAGGAAGTGCAGCCAGAATGCTCCTTGGAAGCAAGAATGGCCAGACTTTGTCTCACCTACTTTGGTCATGTTGTAAGAAGGGACCATTCCCTGGAGAAGGATGTAAGGGCATCATGCTTGGTAAAGTGGAGGGTCACTGAAGAAGGGGAGGCCCTCAACAAGACGGATCGACACAGTGGCTGCAGTGAGGGGCTCAGGCATAACAAGGATGGTGAGGTTGGTGCAGGACCGGGCAGTGTTTCATTCTGTTGTACACGGGGTCGCCATGAACCAGAGCTGACTCGACGCACCTAAAAATAACAAGTTTTATCCCAAAAAAATGAAAGCGTTGTGAACAGTGAACTGACGTGCTTCCCACTGGTGCGGGTTCCCAGTGGCGCAGGCTCCCGTCGGCGTGAGTGGTCTGTTGTGTCAGCCAGCAGATGTCCAGACCCTGGGACCGGTTCCTATGGGGAGGGATTCCTGCCCTTGGAAGAAGGACCTGGGTGCCAGCACTGGGTCTGAATTGGAGTCATCCCCCATGAGCTCACCGTCCACAGGATCCCCTGAGGACCCCTGACTGCTCCCTGCCCAGTCTTTAGGCCCCTAAACTTCTACAACATTCCCCCTGTCGTCTGATGGGCAGGGGGCCTCCGGCAAGAAAGGATAGGCCAGGGCCCCCACAGGGTTAGGCTCCAAGCAGAGTCATTGGGCTCCTCAAGTTGGGCTTCCTGCAGGGGTTTCAACCCCCTCCCTGGAGTGTCCAGACCTCGGTTTCACACTGGAGCCACTGAAGACAGACGGCTCCTGGGCCCTGCTGTGTGCTCCTGGGCTCTGCCGGCCCCTCTCTCCCTCCCTGGGCCTCAGTCCCCTCATCTGCCCAGGGAAGGTGGTAGACAGAAGCAGGCCCCCTGGTGGGAAGGTGGCTATGGGGAGGAGTGAGGTCTTGGTGCCTGCCAGAATCTTCCGGAACCTGCCAGACCACGCTCAGCTGGGAGGATGCCGCCTCTGCAGGCTCGGAGTCCACGTTAAATGCGCTGTGACTCATCCGAGGGTGTCCGGAGACAGCGGACTGGTGATGCTGCTGGCAGGGCTGCCTGACTCGGAGGGAGGCAGGGCTGGGGCCATGGCCACTCTGTGCAGTGACCCCTGGTAGCCCCCCAAGGACCCTTTGTGACTGTCCCAGTGATGAATGGCTCAGCCCCTGTCCCCTGTGGGGCTGGGGTCACTGACATCCCCCTGAAGTCATTCATACTAGCTTTGCTGTCAGGCTTTTCTGCATCTGGGAGCTGCCTACAGGGATGGGGGTGGTGAAGGGAGGAAGGGAGAGAATGAGGGAGGGAGGGAGGAAACTCTGAGGAGGGGTCCTGCCTCCTCTTGAGGGGTAGGGGCGGGGATTGGCAGGAGGCAGCAGTGAGGTGGGTGGGCAGGGCTGCTGCTGGACCAGCCAGCCTGGCACTGGGGGTGGGGGGATGCTCTCTCTCAGGGATCGCACCTGGCCGGGCTGGGACAGTGGGGCCACGTTCACTGCTTCTGCCCTGGCCCTCTGTGGTGTTGCACCCTAAGGTCATGGGGCACTGATGGCCAGAGCCTTGGAGACCATAGCCTGGGGGGGGTGGTGTGCATCCTTGCAACTGGATGGGGCCGACTCTGGGTAGACAGAAACAAAGCACATCTGGGGAAGGTGGGCAGCGTCTGGAGTGCCTGGCCCATCTGGAGAGCCTGCGCCATGCTGTCCCAGCCAGGGAGGGCCCAGGTGGGCGTCCACGGGCCAGGCACTCCATCACAATGGTCACTGTCCTCCGCTCCAAGTCCACCCCGTCCTGGGTCTGGAGGGAGCACAGGACGGACCTCACTCCTGGACTCTGGCTGCGGCCCCTTCTGCAGGTTTGGGGTCGGGAGGGGCCGCCGTGGAGCCCCTGTGCATCCGTGGGAGGGCCCAGGCTCTGGCCCGGCTGCCCCCTGCATGGGTGGGGCGGTGGCTGCCCACCTCGCCCCAGGGGGCCACAGTGCAGGGGTGCAGACTGGGGCTGGGCCGGAGCCCGACCGGGCAGTGAGTTAGTCAGATGCCCTAAGGAGCCTCTTTGAAGGGGGTTGGCCCATCTCCAGCCCAGGAGGATGCCAGGCCTGGGGGCGGGGCTGCTGTGGGGCCGCAGGTGAGGGCCCACCTGTGGGTTCCCAGGTGCCCTGGCCCAGGTGGGCGCTCCCACGCTGCTCTGCCTCAAGGCTGTTGGGAGGCCTCGGGTGGCCCCTTCCCAGGCCGCTGCCCAGCACAGCTCCTCCGCAGCCTGATGTCTGCCCTGAACGTGTCCCTGGCCTTTTTCCTGGGGACCTTCACCCTCTGCGAGGCGGCCAGGAGGGCGTGTAGGCTCCTGCTCCCAGCGGGCGCCTACGCCAGCTTCGCCCGGGAGGCAGTGGGGGCTGTCCAGCTGGCAGCCTGCTGCCTGGAGCTGAGGGTGCTGGTGGAGCTGGGCCCGTGGGCCGCGGGCCTGGGCGCCGACCTGCTGCTGACGCTTCTCTTCCTCCTCTTCCTGGGGCATGGCGCGTCCCTGGACGGGGCCTCGGCCAACCCCACCGTGGCTCTGCAGGACCTCCTCCTGGCCGAGGCCACCGTGCCCGGCACGCTGCTGAAGCTGGCGGCTCAGGCGCTGGGCATGGCGGCGGCCTGCGTGCTGGCCCGGCGCTGCTGGTCCTGGGAGCTCAGCTCTCTGCACGTCTTCCAGAACCTTCTGGCCCCGGACTGCAGCTCGGCCCTGCGCACATCTGTGCCCCACGGTGCCCTGGTGGAGGCCTCCTGTGCCTTCGCCTTCCACCTGACCCTGCTCCGGTTCCGCCACAGCCCTCCCGTCCACAGGGTGCCGGCCGTGGCTCTGCTGGTCACTGTCCTGGCCTACACAGGTGAGCCGGCCCCTCCGGACCACAGGGCTGCCGTGCACAGCCTGTGCAACCTGTGCAGGGCGCTGCCAGCCAGCGGGCAGGGCAGCCCCCACTGGGGCTCCGGGTGGATGGGACGGGGGGTGGAGGGAGGCTGAGGCCCTGGCCCAGACCATTCTTCCAGGCTGTGTCCTCACAGCTCCAAGTTGCACCCACCTCTCCAGGAGAGCTCTCACCTGGGCAGATGGACAGGTGGGTGCCGGGAGTCTTCAGGGACTGTGAGGGCTCTAGCAGCCCAGCCTCCTCCAGCTCCCAGAAGGGGTGGAGAGCAGGGCCTCCAAGAGAGTCTCCCACGGAGGGAGGAACGCGGGGCCTCGACCAGCCACCAATGTGGAGCAAAGCCTCCTAGGAGGATGTGGACCAATTAGGGAGTACTGCCCGCACCCGGGTGCTGGGGTGCAGCAGGGAGGGAGTCACGGAGGCCAGAGCCTTCCAGAAGCTTCCGTTCTAGGCTGGTCAGGGCATTGGCATTGGTCAAGGAGTGAAAACCAGCCCCACAGTTGCCCTTGGTGGGCAGTGCCCGGGAGCAGCCTCAATGGTAACCACCACAGCGGCTGGAGCACAAAGGCCCTAGAGCAACAGGAGCACCGTGCAGATGGTAAACTGAGGCACGGCGGACCACGGCCACAGGACAGGGCTCTGTGGCCAGACTGACCGGACTCCTCTCTGGGGGGTCCTGAGGAGAGAAGAGGCTGGGGGAGATGAGACCCTGACAGGCACCAGGCATCCCTGGCAAGCCCCCACTGCCCCCTGAGCCTGTGACCTTTGGCCTTGGCTGACCTGCCCCGGCCTCGTGTCCCCCTCAGTGAGGCAGGGACAGATCTGGGGGACCTAGCCCATGCAGCTGCACATGGGATGCGTTTCTGGTTTCACTCCCGGCTGCATCGGGCCTGTCCGGCTTCCCCTGCAGCTGGGCCCTTCACATCTGCCTTCTTCAACCCCACGCTGGCCTCCGCCATCACCTTCCGCTGCTCGGGGCACACCTTGCTGGAGTACGCCCAGGTGTACTGGCTGGGCCCTCTGACAGGTAAGGCAGAGAGGGCCCGGGCTCCCTCTGCAGACCTCATCCGATGGCCCCGCCCAGAGGGCCAGGGAAGCGGGGGTGGGGGCGGGGCGGGGGATGGGCCCTAGCTACTGGTCCACGGAGACCTCGAGCAGCCTCAGCCTCCTCCCCCTCAGCAAGCCGGCTCGCGGCCGTGCCAGCAGCACCCCTGCTACCTGGAGCTGCTGGAGCTGGGTGCTCCGCGGGAGGCTGCGGTCCGTCCCACACGTTAGGCCCTAAAGGCCCCACCACACCCTGAGTCCGCCCCTGCCCCACGTGCGCCAGGCTGCAGTCCGGGTCCACCCCGGACCCCAGCCTCCTCCTCTGCAGCCCCATACCCACCCTTGCCCTGCACACAAGCCCCCCACCCTGGGATGGCACCTGCACCTCTGGGAGCTGGTGGGGCAGCTGTGCAGGGGCTGGAGCCGTCCCCGGAGCAGGTCTGGGGCCGGCAGGCTGCCCCTGTGTGCCCTCCCCCCAGGGAGCACCACCTAACACTGAGGAGAGGCCCTGGGGGCCGTGGCTGAGAACCAGACAGGAGCAGCCCAGCCACGACAGGCCTGCGGCCCCACTGACTGGGAGGCAGCGTGGACAGTGGTGGACCTCAGGCTGGAGGCTGTGTCTCTGGGAGGTGGTGTGGATGGTGGTAGACCCCAGGCTGGGGGCGCATCTCACAGGTGCGTCTCTTGCAGGGATGGTCCTGGCTGTCCTCCTGTACCACGGGAACCTCCCCCGGCTTTTCCAGAGGAACCTGCTCTACAGTCAGAAAAGCAAGTATCGAACCCCCAGAGGGAAGCCAGCCTCAGGGCCTGGGCACCCCCAGACTCCCACACAGGGACGGAGTGCGCCAGGGCAGCCTGTGCGTCCCAGCTGACTCTGTGAGCACCACGTGGGCAGCACCTGGAGCCGTGAGACCCCCAAGTCAAGGGGGCTGACCTCACTCCCCAAACACCATTTGTCAATAAACTGCTTGTAAGTAAACCATTCCCAAGACCACCTGTCTCCCTGGGCCTGACAGAAGCTTGCGGAAGGGTAGGCAAGGAGAGAGTCCCCAGAGGAGGGGCACCTTCTCCTTCCCACTGGGCCTGTTTCAGACTCTTAGAGAATAAGAGTGAAACATAAGACCTGGGAGGACAGGGGAGAGGACCAGGTGGGGTCAGCTGCTACTAGAAGGCTCCATGACAGCTCCTGGCTGCCGTGGTCGGGCCGCAGCAGACACACACGCAGCCCAGGGGTCTCGCTGGTGCTACTGGTATCGGCACGTGAAGGGTGGGGCAGCCAATCCCACCGCCCCCAGCACTGACCTCAGGACAGCCCGCTGCTCCAAACCAGGCAAGCTGTCCTCATGCTGGGGCCCAAGGCCATTCCTCCCCGAGAACAGTGCTGACCTGGAATCTTCCACCCAAGAGGACACAGATGTCTTAGCCGTGGCTCCCGAAGCCCTGTCCGCTGAGCCCCAGGCCCCACGCCATCCTCAGCTGAGAGCAGCCCCTGGCCCGGTGCCCCGTGGGGGAAGGCTGGAGAGGAGAAGCGAAGGAGAGACGCTGGCGGGCGTCTCCTGGACGCGCTGGCCCGGGGCACATCTGCACAGGGTTCCCTGCTGGGGAGAGGAAGAGCCCCTGCCCCTTCTCCGGTAGCCCCTCTCCCCACTGAAGGCCGCCCCCGGCCTGGCAGGGGGCCGCCCTGTCTGCAGCCCTGGCCTCCCCCACCTCTTGGTCTGACCACCCTGGGGACGGTACCTCAGTTCGGGGTTCCAAGGCCCACGCTTGCCAGGGCCCCCACTTCAGGAGGAGGTGTCCCCCGCCAGCTCCTGCTCTCTCTTTGTGGTCACCCAGTCCTCCAGACTCACCTCCACATGGCCCAGTTTGCACAGCAGGGCACAGCAGCCCCCTCCTCCCTCCCTCTGCAGAGCCAGGATGGCCCAGGAGCACTGGGGACAGCCATTGTTGTCACCATGGTCCCTGGGACTGAGGGAGTGTGGACCAGGAGCCATGAAGGGTGTGGAGGGCTTCCTGGATGCTATGGCCTTTGAGGGTGTGAGGGCATGAACTCTGCCCTCAGAGGAAGAGGCAAGTGGAACTGGACCTGGGAAGATCTATTCAGGATGGAGAGGTCCATGAAGGGGAAGGGAGGAGGGGCCGGGAGGGGTGAGGGCAGGGGAGTTGGGGAGTGGAGTGTAGAGTGAGGGGCCGAAATGGGGGCGGGGTGTGAGGGTGGGGCCTGGAGGAGTGAGGAAGGGAGCGCTGGGCCCAGAAAAGGACACAATAAGCAGCCGAATCAGCCCAGTGCACTGGGCTTTGGAGCCGGTGGTGTGGAGGGCTGGTGGGGCTCACGGGGTCTGCCCTTGCCTACTTGCAGGAGAGGCAGGCCGGCTTCATGGGCGTGGGACCCTGGTCACTCAGAAGGGCCCCAGTATCAAGGGCTCAGAACGGTTGTGGCAAGGAGGGCAGCCTTAGCACTCGAGGTGGGGGGCTAGCTGGCCCATCCAGCCCACAGTCCGTCCTTGGGCCACTGCACAGGTTCTAGTTCTTCAGGCTGAGCACCGGGACGGGAACTTCCAGGCTCAGATAGTAACCTCCATTAGTAAAAAACAAGGGAAACCCACTGCCGGGGACTCAAACCTGACCCACAGCGCCCCTAGAGGACAGAGTGGAACTGCCCCACAGAGTTTCCAAGGCTGTCAATCTTCACTGAAGCAAAGCCCAAACCACACCCACTGCCATGGAGTCAATTCCGACCCACAGCGCCCCTAGACAGAGTGGAACTGCCCACAGGGTTCTGTGATCTTTACGGAAGCAGGCTGCCTCATCTTTCTCCCTCAGAACCTTCTTCAATAAGTGAGGACAGATGGAACCGTACATGTGCACTTTGCAGTCAAGTGTTTTGGGAAGTAGGACTATTCAGTTCAGAATCTCTTCTTTTGAAAATTCTTGTGGAATTTCAAAGCCACTATCACGAGGTTTGCTAGAATTCAGTTTTAAAATCTTCACATTCAATGAAAGGTAAAATAACTTTCACATGAAGCTTTGGATGAAGCAATTATTAATGTGGAAGATGAATTTAAAATGACGTTTTCCTTGCAGTGGAAGATACAGAGACACAATGTATAAAGAGACGTTTGGATTTAGACGCCGTCCCTAAGCCACTCTCCCTTCTGTGACAGTTCCCCACCAGCCGTAGGCTGTGTCAGAGGGTCGTCACCACTTACAGATCTAAGGAAACTCAGCCCCGCACCACCAGAGGGGGTGAGGCCTGGGATCTTTCTAGAAAGTTTCCCCAAAAGCGCAGCCAGGTCTAGCTGTGTCCTAAAATTGGCATTTCCAGATTGTGTCGGGAATGTGCCTGATGTGGTCACAGCCTGGAAGATGCTCTCAAAGCTCCTGTCCCGGCCGTGTCTGCAGAGGGAGCCTTCCCCAAACTAAATAATTCAAGACTACGGGCGCCCTTGCGTTTGCCACGTGCAACTGGCATTGCTCATGGTGACTCGCTCGGGAACTACAATGCTGACTGCAAGTGCTGACAGTCTCCATTCTGCAGAAAAGGACACGAGAAAACCTGATCGGCCCGTTCCGTCATGATAAAGAGTCATTGCTGATTGTTGATCAGCTCATGGGGCAACCGCACGTGACCCGGGACTGGACGGGGGGCAACGGCACCCAACCCAGGGCGGGTCTCTCATTTCTGAGTTTAGGTTATGACGGCTGTATCACCAAGGTTTCTTGGTGACAAAATACCTTTACAGCAAAAAGCCTCCTAGTTTTCTACCTTCAGTGGCAACTTTTCCTGCTGTTTTGTTTTTTAATTATGACTTGAGTGAAAACTGACGGCAATTTCCTTTTCCATTCAACGAGCTGTGCCCCTTCTGTTGTGGGGCACTCTGCAGTCCCCACGGAGCAACACTGCTCTTCCGAGTTTCCAGTTTGCACCGGTCCCGACAGGGATGCACGTGCCCGGTGGGGGGCTTTGCTCCAGGGCTCACCCTCCCCGGGTCCTGGAGAGCCGCAGCGCCTTCTCCGGGAACTGGCGTAGGTAGAGACGGCGGCCAAACTGCAGCTCAGGGGTGGCCAGGCCACGACAGGTGCGCTCCGTGGCCGGGGCCAGGCCAGGCTTCAGCTCGTAGCCCAGGATGGGCGCCAGGCCGTGGTCCAGGGGTGCCAGCTGTGGGTCCCGCACGGCGCCAGGCATGGCACCCAGCCCGTGCGGGAGGCAGGTATGAGCCAGCTCCTCCCGCCTCCGCTGCAGCGCGGACACCTCTCGCTGCAGGCGTCCGGCCCCCAGGGCGCGCAGCCGCTCCCACAAGGTACGGTTGAAGTACTGGTAGAGGGCCCAGTCAAGCCCGTTCCAGGCGCGGGCCCTGCTCTCGGTGCTGGGGTCCAGCGGCTCACGGGCGTAGGCAGCACGCTGGTTGCTGGGGAAGGCCACCACGTCGTCCAGCTCCCAGCACAGCACGTCCTGCAGCAGCACGAGGGACTCGTCCCAGTGCTCGGCAATCAACACCAGGTGAAAGCGCTCGGCCACGGCCCGCACCATCCGGGCCGTGTGCTGGCGGGTGGGCCTCGCGTTGTGGTCGAAGCCCAGGTCGAAGGCCATGAGGTTCCGGCCGTAGTGGCTGTCGGGCTGCAGCGGGTCGTAGAAGGTGCCGGTGTGCTCCAGGAAGTGGCCCACGCTCTGGGCACGGGCGAAGGGCGACGCGGCCTTGTAGTAGGAGAAGGCCGACTCGAGCAGGTAGGCAGGGTCACGCAGGATGGTGAGGTAGAAGGTGTCGCTGGGCATGACACGCTGCACCTGGAGGGGAGGACGCAGGTGCTGGGCTCAGGGGCCGGCGGCTCCGGGTCAGCCCCAGGGGCTTCCTCTCCTTCCTGAATTCGGACCCCCGGCCTCGGCTGAGCGGCCCCACACCCAGAGTCCCCGAGGGGGCTGAGGCCGCCTTCACCACCCGCCCAGCCAGTCGTCCCCAGACAGGACAGCTACCCCACAGGCCCTTCTGGAAGGGAAACGTCAGCCCCTGACTCTGCCTGGCCTAGAGGCCGCAGGCCACCCTGCCCCCAGTGGCCAGGCACTCTCTCCAGGGCAGAGGGGGCAGGGTGCTCGCCCAGGTCCCCTGGGGTCTCCTGTGCAGAGGCTCCGGGCAGCCGCATCGGGCAGTGTACCGCCCCCTCAGGCCCCGGACTCACCTCCGTGGGCTGGAACCGAAGGTGTTGGCACAGGATGTCGAAGCCCAGGCTGCCGTCGAAGCCCTCAACGTGGCTGGCCGAGAAGTAGCTCGGGTAGGAGAAGTGGGGGGCACCGTTGGCGGGCAGCGCGAACGTGAGGCCACGCTTCTCCCCAAAGCGGAACAGGATGTTGGCGACCGTGCTGCTGGCGCACTTATGCACCTTCAGGAAGAACAGGTGGGTCCGGGGCACGCAGCTGGACGCTCGGGAGGAAGCCGGGGGCCCGGGTGGGGGGGCCGGGAGTGACGCCCCAGGGCCCCCGGGGCTCCGAGCCTGCCCCCTCACGGAGGCTGCTTCTGCCCTGGGCTCCAAGGCCTCCTCGAGCTGCCCCCATGACAGGCTCTGGGCACTTCCTGCCTGAATGATGGGCATGTGGCCCAGGGCCTGGTCTGGGCCCCCTTCTGACCCTCTCGAGCCTGGGAGGGGGCTCCGTGGGGTTGCTCTCAGCCGAGTTCCAAGACCCCCTGGGGGACGTGGTCCAGACCCCAGCTCACCCCCAGCAGGGGGCGGGGAGGCCTGGTTCCCAAAAAGATCCTCGAGGTCACGGTCCACTGTGAGGTGGGCAGGTCCTGGCCAGGAGGGAGCCTGCCCCAGGAGCCCCATCTCTCTGTCCATGGGCCGCTGCTGGGTGGGCTGACGGTCCGCGGGAGGCCCTGGGATGCGGTGAGGAGCCTCCGTGGGGATGTTCAAAAGCCCCTGGTTGTCCCTGCCCAGCCGGGCAGGAGGGGTGCCCCGCATCCCGGGGAGCTGTCGATGTCTGTGTGTCTGCTGGGGGGTGAGCAGACCTCTGTGCTGTCGGTCCCTAAGCAAAACAAAACAACCTAGCTTGTTGCCATCCAGTCTTTTCAGCTCACAGCGACCCCTCCTGGGGCTTCTGAGGCGGTATCACTACGGAAGTAGATTGCCCAACCTTCCTTCCGAGGAGTGGCTGGAGGGTTTGAGCCGCCAGCCTTCTGGTTAGCAGTCAGGTGCCTTAGGCACTAGCCACCAGAGCTCCAGGTCCCTAGGCAAAGGGGCAGAATTGGTCCTCAGAGCCAGGTCTGGTCTCCTCTCTCCAGATCCTCCCGAGCTTGGGGCTGCCCCAACACTGCCCTGCCTGCCACACTGGCCCTTCTGGGACTGGAGAAGTGTGCGTGCTGGGGTCTGTGTGCCGGCTACCCTTGACCCCTGGGTCCATGTGGCCATGTCCAGTGAGACAAAGAGAGGGAAACTGTCCCAGTGGAACTGGCAGGGAGCCTGGGTGATGGAAACCGCAGTGTGAACCTGGCCTGTGGGGCCGCCTCAGGGGACTAACCAAGACGTTCAGTGAAGCCAGTGGACAGAGATGACAAGGCCGCCCTGGGCCTCCAGACTAAAGGGCGCGTTTCTCCTGGTCTCTCACGAAGGAGAGAAGAGCGGGTGCCTCAGGCTGCCTGTGACAGCAACCTACGTCAACGTGCTCAGCCGTGGAGTGGTGACAGGGTGTCCAGAGCAGATGCACGGCCAGGGGTGGGGCTGCCCAGGCGTGTGCCCCCGGGAGGAGCAGCCCCAGCAATGCAGCAAATGCAGACCCCGGCCTGCAGCTCGCGATACCCGCAGAGGCCACGGAGCTGTGCAGAGTGGGGAGGCCACAGGGACACCGTCAGGTGCTCACCTGCACAGCACGGTCCTCCAGAACCAGTTGTCATTGGAGTGGACTGGCCTGACCCGCACTGCCCCGGGTGCCCACGCCACCCTGTGCTGGGGCCTGTCTGGCTGTGGCTGGGCCGGCTATGCACCAGGGGACCCTGCCGGGCTGTGTCCATCGCAGGCCTAGGCAGCAGGCAGCAGTGAGCCATCTGCTCCTCTGGAGACAGATGGGAACCCTTGGAGGAACGTCTCCAGTGGGCACAGAGGCTCAGGAGCCGTCTCAGGGCAAGGCATCTGGGTCCCCGTGGCTAGGAGCCTCCGTGAGGACGGGCATCAGGCATAGCGGTTTCTCCGCAGATCTCAGAGGAAGAGGCCCGGCAGGACTCACCCTTCCTCCTGCCACTCCCGCTCCTTCCTGGGACCGACCTCCCTCCACTGGCCTTCCTGTCCCCCTCCCGGGGCCCTGCCTTGGGCTGCCGGGTGACCAGAGCCCACAGACAGGAGCACAAGGGGCCCTTACCTCCAGAGGAGGCCGCTCCCCACAAGCTGGAGGGCCACAAGGAGGGTGCTGACCACAGACAGGAGAAGCCACACTCGGCCCAGGGGGCTCCGGGGCCCTAGCTGCACCCTTCAGAGAGACCAATGTCGAGACGTCAGACCCTTGTACTCAGAGCTGGCCCCTCAGACGCCCAGGCAGACTCTGCAGACCCAGACCTCTGTCCCCAGCCGCTGGGCTAGAGACAGTGGGAGGGACCTGGGCCCCAGATGCGCCACCCTCTTCCTCCAATGTTGCTCCCATACACAGCCCTGGGCTGCCCCTTGGAGAGGACCACCCCACAACACACACACACACCCTGGCCGGCTGCCCAGGAGGACCTGCCCTCTCTGTGGAGCTGCAGGCCGGGGCCATCTCGCTCCACGCAGGTCAGCAACACAGCCATGTTTTCCTTGGACTCAGAAGCCAGGTGGGGCCAAAAGGGAGCCTGAGAACCTGGCGGATCCCATTAAGCGGACCTAGTCGGCTGTGCCCTCTAAGCCTACCTAAAACGGCTGCTGCCCTTAGCAGGGAGCCGTGGGTCTCAGAGCCAGGCCCCGGGAGAAGTCCTGGAGACCTCGTGGCTGGGAGAGGGAAGGGCTGGCCTTGTCCCCAGGAAGAAGTCCTGAGCCTGCACCCAGTGCGGTGGGAGGGGCTCCAGGGAGGCCCCGTCTGTGCTCCCCAAGAGCAGGATGGGGGCAGGGAAGGTGAGGGCCCCCACCCACCCCTTCTCTGTCATGTGCCTGGGGCCTGTGTTTGCCTCGAGGGACTGAGCTGGAGGGGCTGGCCTCCCATGGGGTCCCAGAGGGAAGGAGGCCATGTGTAGGAATAACTGAGGGGGCCTCGGGTCTGGGGAAACGGGACCCTGCCCTGACAGCCCCAATGGGCACACTCCACGGCCAGCCCTCGGTCAGGCCCTGTGCTGACCACACCCTGCCTGGACCCCCTCCCTCCTGGCCGCCTCCTCCCGTTGCCCAGAGCCCCTCCATACTCAGCAGGCCCTCCCTCCCCCACTTGCCTGGGCAGCCCCTGCTGGTCCTTCTCTGCCCACTGCACAGGGCGCTCAGCCGACCCTGCTCTCACGTCCGCCAACCAGTGTGCCCCCCCGCCTGATCCCACATCTCAGAACCACATCCAGCTGCCTCCTTGACATGCTGTCCTGTCAGAGCCTGTCTCTGCACCCTAGCTGAGCCCAGAGCCCCCATATGTTCCCACCTGCCTACATCCCCTCTTATAGCTGGCTCAGGGAACTCCGATCCTAGTGCCTAGCCGGACACGTGAAACACTTCTACTCCCCATCACCCCAAGTCTCTCATCCCTCCTGTTCTAATACTGTCCCTCCTTCCACGTCACTGCACCCCACCCCTTCTTACCATCGGGTGCCCCACCCCAGACTGCCCCACCCCTGCATTTATGTACCCTCCTAACTGGCCACCACCCCCCAGTCTTGTCCCCTCTCATCCAGCCCCATGGTAAGTCAGAGCCCAAGTCTGACTGTGTGACCCGTCCCAGCCTGGGCACCAGGCAGGCACTGGTTTCACCTGGACGGGCTGTCCCTCCCCAGTGGGGCCCACACCTGCCCTGAGACCGCACCCTAATGTATGTCCTTCTCTGGACTCCTGGGGCTTTGTCCTCCAGCCAGAGCGAACACTAAATGGTGGAACAGGACGTGGGAGAGAGATCGGGAGCGTGAGTGCCTTCAAGGCCTGGCTGGTCCCCAGGACAGTGAGGAAGAGTGCTGGAGGGGGCGAGATGCCCCCCTGTGGGCACTGGGAGGGGAGGGGCAGGGGAAACGCCTGCCTCGGGCTCTGGGGGGGTTGAAACTCCTGCCTGTGGGCTCTGGGAGGTGAAACGCCCACCTGCAGCGCCTCCAACTTTGAAGTGGAAAAGCAAGCAAAGCTTAGAGTGCTCGGCCACCTGGGCAAACGCAGGGTTGTGGACTCACATCCATTAGGTCACCACCCGGGGACACCTGCCACCCTGGGGGACAGCTGCCACCTGGAGGGGAGACCTGCTACCCCAGGGAGGGAAACCTGCCACCCAGGGGCCTGCCACCCAGGGGGACACCTATCGCCCCCGGGGGGACACCTGCCCACCCAGGAAACACCTGCCTGCCCAGGTGAGGCTTTCATGATGACAGTCACTTTGATTTAAAGGACCAGCAGACCACTCATCAGGGGCCATGGGCTCTGCCTCCTCCTGGGAGCACTGGTTGGTCCCCCAAGACTCAGTTTTCTCTTGTGCCCACTGTGCACAGAGCAGGGCAGGAAGGAACCCAGGGATGGGGGCAACCGAGAGATGACAAAGTGCCAGACACCCTGAGACTTTGAGGACCTTCAGGCAGAAAGGATGGCGTGGCAGGAATGTCCTCATCCCCACGGTGGGCGGCAGGGTGGGGAGCCCTGCTCAGAGCCTGCTGGGGGTACCACGGGGTACCCCGGTCTCCAGGCAGCAGCTCAGGGGCGAGAGAACCTGCTGGGGGTGGCCCTCCGCTTGGCCACAGTGCAGGAGCTGGGGAGAAGCCCGGGCCCCGCTAAGGCCCTCAGGCAGGGCCCCAGGAATTTCTCTGCCCCTCTCAGCAGCCCACGCCGCCCGGGCCCCGCTAAGGCCCTCAGGCAGGGCCCCAGGAATTTCTCTGCCCCCTCTCAGCAGCCGACGCCACCTTCAGAGCCGGGTGAAGACAGGAGGGCATGCGGAGCTGCGTGAAGTGTCTGTCGACCCTCAGCACAGGCTTGTGCAGGGGTCCTGGGGCGCAGCTGGGAGGGGGGCTGTCCCACTCACCTGAGTGCACCCATGCTGGCCCGGCCGGCGGCAGGCCCACATTTGTTCTATGGCTCCTCTGGCCGACCTCCCCGCCCACTGACCCCTCCTGGCCCAGCATTCCCCGCCCCTGCTCGTGGGCCTGAGCCAGGCAGGGGCGGGGGGTTCTTGGCCTTTCCCCACCCCACCTCTCCCCATTGCTGCGACTGCTGGCCCCTCCTGCCCCTGCCCCACCTGTGGGACCTCCCACCACTGCCTCTTTCCCTGAAGACCCCCATCCCTTGCCAGCCCTAGCAGATCCCTCCCTCTGATCCTGACTCCACCCCAGAACCCCAGCCCTCCAATCCGCCCTCTCTCCCCTAACTCTGGCCCCTCTGCCCCACAGCCTCCCCACCATGGCCCCCCACCCCTGCCTTCCTCTCCTGTCGCCGCAGCCTGAGCCCTCTGGCCCGTCTCTAGCTCTCAGTCCTTCCCCCACCTCCAGCCTCTCCCTCAACCCCCAGCTTCCTTGTCTTCCCCTCCCCTCAGTGCCCCCCCCCCAGCCCTGAGCATTTTCAAGTCAGCTGAGTAAATACTCGGGGTGTGAAGCTGGATCTTAAGATAAAAAAATTCCCTGTTTGAGAAACACCAGCCTGTCTCCCACACCGGCTGCACCACTCTGTCCACCCCCAGCCATGGAGCTTGGTAAGAGCCTAGTTAGCTTTGAGAAACACCAGCCTGTCTCCCACACTGGCTACACCACTCTGTCTGCCCCCAGTCATGTTGTTGTTGTTGTTATGTGCCGTCGAGTCAGACCTGACTCATAGCGACCCCTCCTTGAATTTCTGAGGCAGTA